ATCAAGTAGCCTTTGTTCTTCACTGAAACTTGTACTATTGTGGCTGTGTTGTTTGCTATCGGGGTAGAACCAACCCTTGGCTGAGACTCCAGTGGATTTTCAGAGGCAGTTAATCACACAGGAGGAGACTGTTCATCCTTCTCCTGTGCAGCAGCTGGGGGATTTGAACCAATTGCCTTTTAAATTGCAGTGCAGCTTATTATCACTAGGTCACGAGAGCTCCGTGCTCGACTTTTAAATATCAGTTATTTTGTATCAGAATTGTACTGTGGCTTGAAATGCATTTTCTGATAATGAATGAAATTGAGCACGTGTCTTATTCCACAATTGTCTTCTTGGCACAAGTGGCTTATGCCACTCAGCATGATTTGTTCTAGAATCTAAATGGGCCCAATTTTAAATTGGTCTTTTTCTTATTGATTTATAGGCTTGCATTTAGATCTTTTCTTTGACACATTAGTTAACATAAGGTCCGAGGTAATAAACGTATTTTCCAACTACTGCTTATGTACCACTTTAAGTGATTTTACTAGAGCTTTTTAATCTCACTCGTCTTTCCAAGAACCATTTTTTAACTTTAATCTTTGTTGAACTCTCTATCATTGATTTGCTCTATTTCTGAACTTTATTTTCCTTACTTGTACTGTTTGAGAGTTGCATTAGCTGTCATTTTTTTGAACTTTCTTGAGGCGAACGCAATAATATTATCAGTCTTTTTCATACATGTAAATGTCTTTGTAGGTTTTGCTCTAGCTCACAAGTTTTTATATGCAGTGTTCATAGTATTTGCACACTTTACAATCTTTAAGTATACTAGCAATCTTATTCTGTAGAACTTGGTATCTTTGAGGAGTAAGATGCATCTGACCCAAGCCAACAGCCTATAGAAATTGCGCAGCTAATTTAAAGGTGAATCCACTGACAGCTCAGAGGGAGGGAGGTAATCATCTCCCAGGTGATTTACCACGAGAAATCCAATTGAGGATCAGCTACGTGTTAGTTCTGAATTGAAGGCAATGGGACTTTTATATGCACGTGAAACGTAAACAATGAAGGAAGAGTGAAGAAGTGATGCCTTTAAGGACAGTGTTGGTGAAAAATACAGACTAATCCAAGGAGTGTCAAAAGAGGACACAGGTCTTTCTTTTTAGGTAGTTAAGTCAGAATGTGCATTACAAGAGAGCATAGGAAGACTTTGTCTCAAGGACGTGGTATACATTATTAGAAGCGTCTGGTTTCTGGAGAAGGGCATAAGGCTTGGTAGAGCAGGATAGCTAAACAAACCAAAACAAATCCAAAGCTTCTCAATATGATGGACTGACACACTGAGGCTACATCCAGCTCCTCAAACACAGCAGAGGTTCCAAAGGCAGCATAGCACCGAGTGCTGGCTGTTTAAACCTGTTGTACACAGGGCCACCCAGGGCCGAGCCTGCTCCATGGCACCCAGTATCAATGCGATCTAGAAACTGAGGGAATCCAATTCCTCTCTTTTTGCTGTGTGCACTTGGGCAAACTATTTCTGAAACTCTGCTTATCAGTGACACAGGCGTTAAGACTACTTACCTCCAGACAGGCACTGGCCAACAGCAGAAGCAAACAGGAAACAGAAATTTCTGATCATACCAGGGAACAGATGAGACAGGCACAGAAGAGGGAGCACAGACAGTTGAACCCCAAAGTGTTCGACTGGACAAAAGCAAAGGCCAGGGCTGCATAACACTGACATTTTTATTAGAATTCATTTGTAACAAATGGAACTTGTGTCAGCAAAGAACTGATTCTCATACAGACTTCTTTCGCCACCAATGTAACGAAGTAAGAAAATAAAAAGCACGCCTTTCATTCTGTAAAACATTTACGCGTACTACTAATTAGAGGTAATTGTATTTTTTTTAACAAGCCATTTTACAAGTTATTTTTTTTTGTTTTAATTTTCAGTCTATGCATCCAAAACGAGAGCAAAGAACACAACCGTCATCATCTCCGTCAAGACACTCCAGGCTCGACGGCAAAGCCACGCAACGGATGGATAGGATGGATCTGTCGCCTTCTGACCTCTGCTGGAGTATCAGGGCACCCATAAACCCAGAGGAAAGCAAAACCCGAAACAGAGGAAAAAGAGAAGGGGCTTTGAAAGAAAACGGAGCGGGGGCGGGGAGGGGGGGCGGGGCGGGCGGGGGTGGTAACACAAAGCAAAACCAAAAAAATAGATGGGATAGAAAAGAGATCTGCATGCTACTGCAGACTTCCCCCTTCCCGTTTCTATGCTGTGTTATTTACATACACACAAATGAATTTCTGAAGCAGTTTTCTTACAGATGGGTTCAAGTAATAACATTATTGGGTGTAGAATCAATAGGGCAGTGCATAGTACAAAGGTATAGAAAGTGCAAAGTTCCCTAGAGGCCCTTCCCTCCCCTGGCCGTCCTTGCCATAGTCTAACCATGCAAATCATTTTTAAAAAAGAGCTAAAATAAAGTTCTGTACAAATCACTTTTTATATATTTTGATTTTTTTTTTTACCATTGTAACTAATTACAAAATTATACATAACTACACGTACATAGGTAAATAATAGCACCGTACTGGTTATGATGATGAAAATAATCAGAAATGTGAACGGGTATGATCATGGCTAAGAAAGATGTTGACCTGGGAAATCAAAACCAGAATGGGTGAACACAAAAGCCCAGGAGAGTGGAATGCACATCAATGACACTAAGGGAGTTGGTTCTAGGATCAGCTCCTGAACAGTAGGGTTTCTGGAAAAGTCTCTGTCTCTTTTGTCTATGGTATGCATCCCAATCATGTTTTACTTCTAATTTTTTTTTCTCATCATTCCCTTTACCAAATGGACAGTTTTTGTTTGTCTATCTGTCTCAGGGAGAGAAACTGCTCATTGCCCAACCGTTCTAATGTCCATCACGGTACCGCTACAGGACACCATGTCCATCTGACACCCTTTGTTTGGCTAAACGAAAATGACAGCACTGAGTAATCTGGCACTTGGATAAATCTCCAAAAGAAACAAACTGAAAAAGGGAAACAACACAGACCCACATGGTGCACATTCTTCTCTGGTGCTGATGAAGGGTCAGAGAGACTCATTCTGAGGTAGCCTTCTAGATACTGTTTTGAAATAAGTATTTATACATATTTTCTTTTTTTTTTCTTTTTAAAATGTTTTTTACAAAAGTGCTCAAATACGATGCTTGCGAGTGTTTGGTCTCTTGGATTTCATTCTGCGAGCGATGGAGAAAACGTGGAAAAGAAAAATCCTTCCATGCAGAACATCAGTGGAGTGAAAAGTAAACCAAAGTAGTAAGTTTTAAGTAGTATACCTACACCAAAAACCCTTGAAGAGTTCCTTGGATATTTGAAGCTTTGCTTAAACTCATATAGGAAAGGGCAAGCTCATGCCATTATACATGGCTTCCTATAGAAATTATGCTGGAAAATTTGGGATGGAGATAAATATATGTGTTTATTTACTTCCCCTTTTAAAAAAATCCTCATGGAATACAAAAAATATTCCAACATTGCCTTTGATGTGTCTATTAAAATAAGTTTGGTGCCATCACTAGGTGCTCTAGGGTTGATTTTGTATGGGGTTCTAACTAAAACCAGTAGCTTTTTCTCATGTTGAGCTATGAAGGAAAGAAGGGCCAGGGTTATCCAAGTGCTTCGGGCTGGTACAATCACTCACATCCCCAACTTGGCTGAAGACTAGGAATGCATATTATTCAAAGAGTTTTTGTACATGTGGTAAACAGAATAATGCTTTAATTGGAAGAGTAACAGATATGAACAGCTAATGAAAATAGGAACTGAAAGCTAAAACGAAATGCGATTAAAATTAGGCATCAATTATAAGGCACTCTAAATGCAAAACTAAAACTCAAACAAAACAAAAGGACAGCATTTCCCAGGAACGCTGTCTGCCACAAGATGTTCTGACTAATCAGAGTACATGAGTTTGGCTTTGCCCCTGTTACATATCAGAAATGCAAATTTCATAGCACATACTTATAGACAATATACGATTGAATACACTTTTTTTTGTTTTAAACACCTTGATAACTGATATATTACAACATTCTCCCCTCCTAAAAGGATATGCACCGGCCTTTCTCACATGCACACCGCTTAGATATGGAATAATTTTTTTTTTATTGCACTAGAGTGTTACAAATGTTGAACTTGGTTGGAAGCCTGACTAACAAAATACTCTTTGTGAGGATGGGTGAGTGGGGAGACTGGGTCCGAAATTAGGAGGTGAGGCTTGACAATCACTGATGTGCATTCCTCATTTCCCTTTAAAAAACTCAAAGTTTTGTGATATTGAGAAATACCAATATGCCACAAAATTAATGAGAAATTCAAAGAAAAGTTTATAATAGTTCTCATATCTTATAAAAAAAGTAAATTATGGAAGAACTGAATGTGAGCTATTTTGATCTTTTTTGTGTGGCTACATTGTCGATATATGCATAAACATCCTTATGAAATGTGGGTGTCTATGCATATATGTTAGCAGCAGCTTTATACTTTGCGCCTCCCTGTTGATTCCAAAACCAAAATGAAAACACAATAAAATTTGCTTTGATTACTTGAAGAGAATGGGGACTTTCTTACCAATCAAACCCCAACAGAAGTGAAAAGGAAAAAAAAATTTATCTGACAAGACAGATACTGTAGATCGAAGAGCCATCACACAAAAATGTGCAAGTGTTCAGATTAATTGATATTTCTACAGTGAGAAGATTACTGATAACAGTTCTACAGTTTAAAAATAAACCCCTACAATTTGGGACTTAAAAAAAAATGAAGGTAGGTAACTTTTTTTCCTTTTTAAATTCACTTTATCGAATGATACATTTTGTTTTTGTTAAAAAAAAGTTTACACAGTTAAAAATGAAGCACAGGTCAGCAGTATCTTTACAATACTAAAAAACTAAATCAAAGACTTTCTTTTTAAACATTCCCCCACCCTGTTCCCCCTACAATGTTATCATGAGCAGTATGGCGGGAAGGGGCGAAGTTGAAGCAGAGTTCACTTGCTTGTGAGAAGCCAGGCATCTTGTACTGGACTGCAACCTTCTGGCAATTCCGGGCACCTATCCGGCAATCCTGAACAAGATGGTGGTTCTTTGCTGTGGTTTCTTCTTCCCTTTGTCCTGAATCCTTGAGGTATCTGGAAATAAAATCCTTCAGACGCCTCACCAGTCAGGATTCTCGTCCTTATTTTCAGGTTAGATTATTAAACTGGGAATTCTTGGTCCACCTGGAAATAGTTTTTGTTTTGTTTTGAATTTGTTTTGTAGGTAATAGTCCCACTAAGTGGTGGTTAGCTAGAAGTTAAGAAGGACTTCTCAAGTGCCCCATATGGCTCAGAAGAGACTCCATGGATACTGAAGGGCCTGCAGTTCAAATCCAGAACGGGTCAGGGGTTTCTACGTTGCATAGTGATCAAAACTGCCGAGGTACTCGAGTGCGGCTCGGTAGCAGAACTGATACTGATCCTGCAGGAGACAGGGAGAAAAAGGAAGAGCTCAATGAGGAAGCTTTGGTAGGGAATGAACCTCAATTCTGGAAAATGGAATTCCATCTACAATGGGGCAAAGCCCTCACATCCCTCCACCCGTTCAATCCAATGTCTCACTAACTGGCTCCAATGAACAAGGAAGGGTGAGTCTCACGGCAGTGTCAGTTAACACCCTAAATCAATTCAACTAAGAGCCTGCTAATTTCAAGTAGGGATAGGACCAGTGGGCAGCCTTCCCATATGAAGCAATGAACTGTTCATGTAGCATCAAACAATTACTACCAACAGGACACGTGGACTCTACAAGCATCACTTATTTTTTACAATCATCTGCTTGTTTATGATGATTTAGCAAATCCTCAGTTTGCATATTTAGGAAAGGATAATGAAAAAGATAATTTAGAAAAAGATAAACACTGCGCTGGAAGTCTGGGTTCATTTATCTTTCGGGCTTTTGCCAACGGAACTTAGAGCTTTTGCTATTGGGCTTTTTTGTTGCAGCTGTTTTGATTTGGTTTTTTAAAAAAATAATCTACAAAGACAGCATTTCTTTGGTACCTGTGATCGGAATAACCTGCTATCATTTTTCATGTTCATACAGACTTCAGAGAACTCCCTAAAAATCAAACAGAAACACTAAACCTGTTGCTTTTTAGTCCATTTTGATTTACAGCACCCTTCTACTAGGTTTTAGAGAATTTAAGTTTTAAGAGAAGGGACTGCCCATTCTTCCACAGAGCACCTGGGAGATATGAACTGGAGACCTTTCTCTTACAAAGCCAGTACACCATCTACTCTGCTACGAAGGCTTCAAGAAGGGAGAATCCCAAATCAAACCCCTTGTTGTTCAGTTGGTTCTGACTCCTGGAGACCTTCTATTCTATTTCAGAGGCTGTAAATGTTTAGGGATCACGAAGATAGGGCAAGGGAGTTGACTGAACAGCATCTAACAACAAAATCTTTATTGAGGGGGGACTACCACCCTTCTCCAGGCTGGTGGATTTGAACTGTCAATCTTCAATTAACAGTATATTATTTAACATGTACCCAAGTGTACAAATTTCCGTTTGTGTCTCAGTCTTAATTTTCTCAGGGTAGATTCCAAGCAGTGGAATAGCTGAGTCATAGCTAACTAGTAAAACATGTGCGAAGGTCCAAGGTGGGAAGGGTAGGAGCAGAGAGGTGAGGAGGGCAGGGGGATATCATAGGGTCGCACAATTTGATGGATGTACATACAGAAGGGAGGGTAAAAAGAAAATAGGTACAATTTGGTGGGGATTTGGAAAGACAGGGTAGTGGCGGGCACAGTTCAGTGTTGACTGATTTTATAAAATATAATGAAGCAGAATTATTGTATGAAACATAAGGTGAATATACATGAACTCTGTAAGCAAATCAATATAAATTTTTTTTTTTAAAATGATGTCAACAGGGCTCTTAAGAGACAGGGTCAGGGGGCAAAAAAGCAGTCTGCAAGGGGAAACGACACACAAAGCCACTTCCACAGCGTGCCACACCTGCAAACCTTTCATCCTGTGAATGGAGCTGTAACAAGACCCTTAGATTCCAACATCTAAAGCCACTCTTGCCATTCACTCTAATCCAGTGTGACTGTTAGCTGTCTTTTTAGAAAGGCCCACACTAAAATAAAAATGGCATGAAATGGTCCTTTTTTAAGACAGGGAAGTGCTCTGTCACCAGAATAAATAAGTTAGTGCACCGCTGGAGAGACAGGGAAATTACAATTTACAGCGGACTACAGGGATAAGAAAAAGTAGGATTTTCCCTATAAAAGAAACTTATTTTCAGTAGCCAGTGGGGCTGAAAGCAGATAGTTTCTGTTTTGCTTAAATGTGCATTTTTCTACAATAAAAATGGTAATGCAGAATAAATGGAGTTTACTTTGCTTTCTTGTCACAGTACGTTGCTTGGCTAAGTGTTAGGGCTTTTTAAATGTCCACTTTTCCCTCTGTCATCCCCCATACCTATTACGTGTGTCAGGCTGACATAATGTTTTGAATCCTGCAAGCCAAACACTTGCAGTATTTTGAAATCCAAGTCTAGAAGATACTGTGGGTGATGAATTTAGGGACACATAAACATGGTGTGCTGTGTCGATCCTTTGAGGAACATAAATCCCATCTATTACTCATCCTAGCTTTCAAAGTGAATTCCTACACGGCCGGATGATTTAAATCATGACCTCATAGTATTCTAAGAAACACCAGCACTTCAGAACAAGTACCGGAATAGGAAGTAGATGACCAATTTCTCTTGAATCCAAATATTTACAATGACCAGCATCAGGGAAGAGAAGTGAGTAGTTAAAGATCTACCAACCAGACACACAGCAAGGGAATGGAAAATCAGAACAGGCTAAGGCTCTAGTGTATGCTAGGCACTATACTATCTTTCTCTCTCTCTAGTAGATCGATCGATCGACCTACCTACCTACCTACCTACCTACCTATTTTCCTTCCTCCCTTCCCTTCCCTTCCTTCCATATATATTTATATTTAGATATAAATATATATATAACCACACACATATGTATGTATATATATATATATATATGTGTGTGTGTATAACTATCTGAAGCAGGTACTTGCATACGTTAAAACGGTCAAATATGAAAAACAATTAGCATGGCTTTTCCAAATACCTCACCTCATAGAATTTTCACAATAACCCTAAGCTGTCATCCTATTTAAACGGTGGAAAAGTAAGGTTCAATAATATATAACAATCCGTTATTTCCCCAAAGCATTTTTGCTTCTGGTACTAAAAGTGCCTGGGTTCCAGCAGGCCTTGTCCTGTCAAATCTTTTGTTTGGTTCTTGAGATGTGACACACAGACCTCCGGGGAATTTTCTCACCTCTGTCTGTACCATGGCTGGTCGCTGTGTTCTCAACATTTTCACGGTTTGGAAGATATCTACAACGCCTTCGTATCTCATTCTCTCCAAAACGATGCTTAATGTGATGAAGACTCCAGTTCTTCCCACGCCAGCACTGAGAAAACATCACACAAGGACGATGATTACAAGAGATGCCCATGGATTTGCCGATACCTGCACGGAAGTGAGCATGCTCCCGCCACCGTCCCAGACACCTTATGTTCTTCTGCAGCAATTTCAAAAAATACTCTGAAGATAATGCAAAGTAATAATATGTGAGAAGGAATCAGGAGGGTGAAGCCTTCTAAAATACAGTGACTTCACCTGGGAATGTAACAAAATCCTAGAAATACTAAAGAAATAATCAAGATGCTTATAAAATATGGATATAGGTTTATATTGTTAACACTGATCCTGACATTTTAAACCTTGGTTACTCAATAGTGTTGGAACATGCAGTGTCATGTGAAACAAACGGGCATCTCCAGTTTCTGTAAATTTCCTGTAGTTGCTTAAGAATCAGTGCAGATGTCCCATTGTAAGGCACAGAAATAAAAATCCAGGCATGTAGAATACTGAAGGTAGGCATTACTTTTGAAATGAGAAGAGATTCTGAACTGGGTTTTTTTTATGGGGCTCACACTCAGTTCTTGGGGAAGCAGTGTCTATGGTAGCCTGTAAGGATATGTTTGGGTGTTGTTTTTTTATTAAAAAAAGGGTTTTTTCCCCCTAGAAAAAGGAACTCCCAGAAAATTCTCCAAAAGATCTCTTATTAAAAAAAGAAAAAAGATGGTTTAGAGTCACTGAGCTTAGCTACTATTTTTGGAAGCTCAGGAGGTAAGACATCAGGATTCTTTCCACCACATTAGCAAGAATTTCTCTCTTTGTTTCTTTATTGTCTTAAGATAATAATACCACAAACTTCACAGGAGGGATAGGAGGAAATAAATCCATAGCTCTTGTATTCTAAAGATGCAGGAAGACATTTGCAGGTCAGGTAACGAGGAAAACGGAATAGTCTGAAAAATCCCTATACTTCTGGATCCTAATTAAACAGCATGTTTAACGCTTGGGTACAGTCTGCAGAAAATGGATGGATTCATTTACTTGGGGATGTAGCTGACAGGCATGTAGAAATAGTGTGGCATCGCTTCATGAACTGAGCCTCATTCACAGCCTCAGAATAGACCTGGGAAGTGGATCTTCCAAGTCTATTGGTTCTTCTTTTTTTTTTTTAAATTTAGGTTGTTTATTTTTCATTTCAGTGAACATCTACAGAGATTTTGGGATTCCATTCATTCATTGTTGCACCCTTCTCCCCGCACAAACCCCTCCCCCCTCCCCCCCCATTTGCTCCTCTCCTTGAAAAGCAAAAGAAAAACTCCCTCATTGGTACACAATCCCCCCCTCGCACCTCCCCAAACCCCACCCCCTACTCCCAAATATAATCCACTCTACAACCCTCATTGCATACTCCTACGATAAAAATAATGCCCTAAAATATAATACTTTTAGACTATTCTCTCCCCCATAGACTTCAATGCCGTAAACATATTTCATCCAGTTTTTCTCAGTCTTACCCCCACCCCAATGCCAGCCTCATTCTACAACAGTGGCACCATATAGCATTTGTCCCTTTGTGACTGAGATACCTCACTCAGCATAATGTCCTCCAGGTTCACCCATTTTGAATAATATTGCATGAGTTCCTTGTTTTTCAATGCAGCATAGTATTCCATTGTGCGAATATACCACAGCTTCTCTTTAGAGAGCAGCTGAAGGGGTCCAGGCATCACTGAAGGTTCTCTGTGAAGATGGAGTTGAAGACCCTGAAGGTCCCTTTCAACCCTGACAGCCTCTCTTAATCCTCAGAAACTGTGATTGGTGATCTTTTTATTGAATAGTCCAGGGCCTACAAAGCCCGTCTTTGATTGCTCAAATATAAGAAAGATACCGTATTTCCTAGCTTCCTACTAAGCACTTTTAAGAAAAGAGCGGCCATTTGCCTTTCAGGAATTTTGAATTTATTGACATTATCATACTGGTTTTGTTTTGTTTTTTTTTTTTATTTAGAGAATACTTTGTTAGTTTCTGTAATGTAGATAAGACCTTACATATTTAATACAATGTGTTACCTCTGTACAAATGGAAAAAAAAAATTAACATTTCTAGACCAATATGGCATACTGGTTTAAAAAAGCATACATCTCAAAAGTAGTTTACTTATGATGTTCCCAGAAAAGATATCTAGAATTAGTTAAGATACACAGACAGATCATAAGCAAAATATCACAACACTTAAGGGGTGCTGAAAGCATTTTTAATGACAAAGATAATGAAAAATCACCCCCACACATATCCACACACGCTTATGATATGAATGCCTGAAGTTAAGATACATATTAAATTAGGAATAACCTCTCTTATTGCCAGTGATTTTGAGCATTTCTTCTTGTGTCTGCTGGCCACCCAAATCTTGGAGAGCATTATGCTAAGTGAACCAACTCAGTTCCATAAGGACAAATACTGTATACTGTAGAACACGTGTAAGGACCCAAGGTGGGAAGAGGGGAACAGAAGGGTGAGGGTGGGCTGGAGGGTGGGTGGACGGTGGTGGTGAGTTATAAAGTCAAATAATTTGATGGGTGGAGGGAGAGGTGAGTAAAGGAAATGAGAAAGATCTGGTGTGGGAAAACAATGTATACAATACCTTGTAAGTAAACCAGTACAAAAGAAAAGTTTTATTTAACAAAATTAGAAATAGTAATTTTCCTTATAGCAAGCCTTATCTTTTGAATTGGAATTTAGGAAAATTATATAGAAAATGAAGGAAAAGACTCAGATATATGAATACATTCCCTTATCTAAATGATTTGAGTCTATCTGCCATTTTTCACTTACTCCTTGATTGTAAAAGCAAAGGATTTTTTGATAGGTCAATACAAAGCAAATATCGAGGTAAGATCTGATTCTCCCATGATGCACCAGGCCTGGTAAATAGAAGGTGCTGGGGATTATCTTAAAGATAAAAAAAAAGAGGTTGAGAGTGAGAACTCTAGAGTTCACAGCCCTGATTCCTTGAGACTACGCCACCAAGAGACCCAGCTGCGAAAGCAGATTTTTTAAAGTCCACATTCTTTTTCTCTCCTCTTTGGACACAATGACTCGCTATGTAAGGAAGGATAATAGGTTTTGAAAAATCATTTTAAGACAGAGACATTTTTAAAATAAACTCTTTGAGGATTGTGGATTTTAATGAGATTAGAAACTGAGATTTGGACTTGCTAGGATCCTAAAGGTATTAGTTTAAAATAAAGTTAAGATATTTTTTTTTCCTCCTTGGAAGGAGTCTGCACAGCAACTTTCAGAAGCACTAAATTTATGATGATGTCCTTTCTAAAGAGTTTACTTGCTATTTCTATTAACTGCAATGGCTTGAATTATAAAATGCTTTGAAAACTATTGCAAATAATTAACTTGAAGGTGCTTCATTTTCTGATAGAGCAACAATTTTCAAGCAAATTGCAGTTTTAACTGAAGTACCATTGTAATCACTTATTGATTGGCAAGAATTAGTATTGCCATTAAGGCTTGATAGCTATTTATGGTTTTCCCAAGAAGACTAATGCAGGAGAAAGATAGTTACCAGGGCCATGCTATGAAAGCAAAGCAAGTAACAAATGATTAAAAGAGGAAATTATCACCAGGGATGGACCCACCACATTCCTACTGAGCAAAGGTGGCCTGGAAAACTAAATTTACACAAAGTAAATTTTTTAGTTAAAAACCTCCCTCTGCTTACTTTTCATTTTACGGAAAAGAAATAAGTCCTCACTGTAGATTCTACTATCCATTTCTGAAGATACAATTCTATTTAATCCTATTCACTTTGCACAGCTGACGGGTAGACACTTCCTTTTCCCAGTTACGACATGACCCACCGATGGCAACTCTTGCCATTCCTGATTCCGAACTCACCTGCAATGAACTGAAATGGGTCCATCTTGGCCAAACTGCTCCTTCGTTTTATGGACTTGGCCGATGAAGTCAATAAATCCTTCTCCAGACTTTGGCACCCCTTGCTCTGGCCAGTCGGTGAACTGGAACTGCCTGACTGTTCGAGACTGGCCATCCTTTAAGGAGGATGCCACGTGCCCAGACAGGAAAGAAGATGCCGAGGTTCCACCATTGCAGAGGACACAGCAATATACGATATCATTTCAAAATATAACAGAGGAAAGGCCAGGAAAAAGTTAGAGACACGTTTTACTTCAAACTTCCTATTATCATCATCTTGATGATCAGGTTATGAGTTACAATCAATTCAGTGCAATGGGTTCGGTTTCCTGTTCAGCAGTGTGTATTATCTACACTCAACACAGCCTAAATTCGCCTATGAACTTCTTGGGTGGTGCAAAAGGCTAACATGCTCACTGCTAACCAAAAGCTTGGTGGTTTCAATCCCATCAGTGGTGCCTCAGAAGAAAAGCACGGAGATTTACTTCTGAAAAAAAAAAAAAAAAAACCAAACCCACAAACCCCCTACCCACTGCAAGTTCTCTGGTGTCCAGTTAGAGTCTTAACACCCATGGGGTCTCTATGAGGTTGCTTAAATTGCAAACTCCTGTACATGAGTATGCTTAAATCACAAACTCATAGAGTCCAGCTAACAACCTGAGAGGCGAGAGTTTGGGCTCAAAACCATTGCTCATGTGAAAATTCTCTCCAGAGTGGACTATATACCCTCTATTTCAGCACTTTTCAGCAGGGAAGGATCCTTAATATGGGAAGATGCACCCAGCCATGTCATGCGGTCCAGAGAATTTGCTGTTGTCACAATAGCTTCACATCTGCTTTGCTTGCTGGTTTCCAGCACTGTCAAGTGACAAATGGTGACATTTAAAGGATTTGACATAAATCTGCTGGTTGCTGTTAACCTTGACACCCTGTGGGTCTCAGTGGCAGGAGATTTCCAGCCAATGGCTGGGTACAGCATGTGTCACGTGGCTACACTGGAAAGCAGGAAGTGAAGCACCCCTCAAGGACACCAGAGGTCATTAGCAAGTCAGTGCTCCGTTCTGAAAGAGGAGGCTTCCTGGGCGCCTCCAGGAATGCAGGATGCCTTGAGAATTTATAGTGCAGACAAACCACAGGGCAGAGAGAAAGCCAGCCAGATGCCAAAGGCATCATTCTTTCCTAAAATGATTAGGCAGCAGTGCTCGGACTCAAAAAGTGTGAACAACTGAAAAGAAGTTCTGAAAGCCGTATGTGAATCCTCTTGTAATTTCATAGTACTGTTGCAAGTGAAAGGAAAGCTGAAGGGATTCTTGGTTTACAGAACAACAATTATATATATCCGTTGGCTTTCTCCCTGACTCATCAGAAAAAAGACACAAACAAAAGCGCAACACCATTAAGTTGATCCCAATTCACGATGTCTCAGTTATAGAGCGGAGCTGAGCTTGGGGGGCATGGGAGGTGTGTGGGGGTGTGCGTGTCCAGCTTTATTCTTTAGGGAAGCAGACTGTCAAGCTACCTTCTGAGGTTTTGGTGTGGGTTTGAATCACCCATCTTTTGGGTTGCAAGCCAGCCTTTTAAACGACCAATGAGTCAACAGAGAAGGAACTTTTTTTCAAACTCTGAACCAAGTGGGATTATTCTCACTGGCTTGTTGCGGTTCTTCCCCTGTAAAACCTGCCCTTTCCTCAATCTTTGCATTTTGCAATGCCTCTGTCTCTATTTGAGTTCCTTTGGTACGGGGGGTTGCATGTTGCTGGATTCTGGGTCATTGGCATGGAGGCTTAATCTTTCTCATGCTGCTATTGGTTCAGGATAAGTTAGGCACGTATCAAGCAGCTGGCCAGCGCCCACAGGAACAAGGCCAAGTTCTGAGGTGGCACTTGGAATGAAAGACCACGTGAACTGAGTAAGACCAGTGAGGTACATGGAAACAGCTACACGCCCCATGAGCAACATCTGGCTGGTTCCCATGCAAGCTCGACGGACTTTTTCTCTGTTCCTGGAAGAGGGTTAGAAAGTACAAGAGAGCAGCCTGAGTGAGGCTAGTGACGGTCTATTTATCTCATCTGAAAGTTGTGGAGATTTGTGGTAACGGTTTAGAGACGGAGGCATCGCAAAATGGAAAGACTGATGAAATGGCAGGTTTTACAGGGGAAGAGCCGCAACGAGCCAATGAGAATAGTCCCACTAGGTTCAGAGTTTGAAAAACAAGTTCCTTTTCTGTGGACTCACAGGTAGTGTAAAAGGCTGCCTTGCAACCCAAAAGGTGGGTGATTCAAACCCACCCACTGAAACCTCACAAACCCCCCTCACTAGTTGGAGGGGAGACCCTGGACAAAGGTCACCTGTTGTACAAGGGTACACTGGCAAGCATCGCTTTCGAGTTCTGAGAACTGGGAAGCTGAGCCAAGAAGTCTGCCAGGAACCCAAACAGCAAGTGTCCTGGCAGCTACAGAAATACTACTTAGGAAAAGAAAGGCTGTGAGCAGGTTCCTGGTTCAATCTTTCCTTTGCTTTTCATGACCAGACGCCATTCGAGCTTGTCCTTGTTAGTGGTGGCCGAGTCGGTGCTGACTCGTGAGGACAGACCCGCTGCATGCAGAGCAGAACCGCGCTCCAGCAAGGTATTCAAGGCTGTGGTCTTTTGAAAGCAGATGGCCAGATATGTCTTCCAAATTGCCTGTGGGTGGTTTCGAACCACCAGCCTTTCAGATAGGTTAGTTAAGTCTTTGAATGTCCCACACAGGGGCACTACTTTAGGTATATTAGGAGGAGGAAGAAGAGTGGGTGTCTTTTGTGTGTGTGTGTGTGCATGTGTTTTAGAGTTTGCAGAGTTACTATCAGAAATGACGGATGAGTTTGTGCTACAAGCATGTAGGATTTTCACTTGCCTATGGGGCTTCACATTCTGAAAGGACATGATTTAGTTTCTTTTATTTTTTTAAATAAGGAATGGAGCAGGCCACCAAAATATACTTGCTCTGGCAACTCATAAAGGAGACCCAGCGATTTAACAGCTGCCTTGAGGACGGTCCCCTTTAGAGCAGTTAAGATGTCAGACTTTCTGGGATTAACAAGTCTGTCACCGGGGCCAGCCAGGCTGCTAACAGATTTCTCTTGCACTTAGGTCAACAGCTTGGGCTGGACTTTGGGGATTAGAGAACAATCCCCAAACAGGAGTTTTAGTTGAGAAAGCTGCCTTCCAGAGCGGGGGGGGGGAACCCACAACCAATGGCTCAAGTAAATAGCTGTCCCCTAGAATTTTATTCACTCCATCTGCTGTGACAGTTACAAAAACAAAATGATGCTTGGGACTGACCCCACTCTCCCACAAGATGTGCCTGTAATCACAGTTTGGAAGTAGCCAAAGGCAGAGATATTAAAGTTTATGCACAGAACGTCTTACATCAGGGCTGAACCTTGGACTCAGCAATCTAGATAAGAAATGCAGAATGAAAATTAGCCAGGCAGGGTCGTGGGTACACAGCTCTCGCGGACAGACACATTAGCACACGGAGGAATAAACCATGCCAGGAATGGAATTAGAATGTGCAAGGCTTGTCAGATCTTTCTAAAGAATGCCGTTTGCTCGGCAGTTTTCAGATCATACTGAATTAACCTTCCAGCTCACATGACCTGCAGGGCTTTGCAAAACAACAACATATTTACAGCCCCAAGTAATGAAGAAGTCAAAAGAGCTCCGAAGAGAACGAGCTGAGAAGGTGAACTGCAAGCCCAGCCAGCAGACGAGGAGAAGCTTCCCAGCACTGCGGCTCACCAAGAGCATCCCTGAAGGTGAGACGCCAGATGTTCGGCCTGAATGGAAGCCAAGCTGGTTTTGTGAGTGTGCTTACCAGACGGCAGAAAAGTTACTAAAAAACAGTTTAAAAAAAAAGAAAACCTCTCAAGGATGGTTGGTCTCTTTTCAATATGAAACTTGGTATGGCCGCTTGGGGCACAACTTTTCCCCAGGGTGGTTATTTTGCCTTAATCCACAGTTGAGTTGGGCTACAAGTCTCCAGAGGTTTGAATTCACCACTGGCTACACAGGAAAAAAGAGATGGGTAGTTCCTTTCCATTGAGATTCACAGCCTTGGGAACTCATGGAAGTTACTAGAAACAGGAACCATACTTGGCAGTGAGGTGAGCTTTTTTTTTTTTTCCATTTGGACATGTAGTGAGGAGAGACCGGTCCTTGGAGAGGGACATCATGCTTGGGAGGGTGGAGGGACAGCGCAGGAGAGGAAGGCCCTCTATGAGGTGGATTGATTCAGTGACTGGGATAATTGGGATGGGAGTGTCAGAGACAGTGCGATTGGCACAGGACAGAGCAGAGTTTAGGGCTGTTGTACATAGGGTCGCTATGAGTCGCAGGCGACTTGACGGCACATAACAACAACAACAACAACAACAACTATGATATTGGGAAGCACCAACTTACCCTGGCATCCGTGACTTTGAACTCCCGTAGGATATACTGGGGCATGTTGTACTCAGCCATGGGGTCTACAACAAAGTACTGGTATCTTGCAGACCGTTCTGCTGGCCAGTACTGGTGACATTTTTCCTAAAAGGAGATCAGATAAGCACTGAGTTAGACAAAGTATTCAGAAGGTTCCATCCATCCATCCATCCATCCATCCGAAGGTAAGCAGTATGAATCCACCAGCCACTCCATGGGAGAAGGACGTGCAGCCTCCTCCTGTGTGATGTACTGTCCCTGAAAAACCCCTGGAGGGTCAGCTCTGACTCTACAGTAACAACAACAAAGTGTCTCTTTGAGACCACAGGCTCCCAGGGATAGGGAGACCGGTTTAGTATTTGCCCATGGCATTGACCGCAGTATCCTCCACATAGCCAACCTGCTGCTAGTGAGCAAATTCTGCCTAGAGGTGGCTCCCCGAGGGTCAGTGTAGATCCGTGCCCCACGGGGTTTTCAGAGGCTGAAGTTTTAGAAGGAGACCGCCAGGACTTTCTTCAGAGATGCCTGTGGGTGGACTTGATCGTGCAACTTGGTTACCAGATTGGAGGTTAACCATTTGCACACCCAGGCACCCAGAGTGGAACATGCTGGGTGGTGGTGGCGAACCACCAAGTTGGAACTGACCCAGAGGTGACTCCCCATCCTCCTCCTGTGGAGAAGCTGTTGGATTTGAACTGTGTGCCTTTGCAAGTGTAGCACAGTTTCTTACAATTAGACCATATCAGATGAGGGCTTTTAGAGGTAGGCATCTTTTCTATGGGTTATCTGAACAATTAAAGGCACATCGTGGAGATATTGTGGGTTTGAGTTTGAGTCCCTAGTGCCACAATAAAGGAAATGTGATCATAAAGTGAACTGCATGGATTTTGGCTTAATGGCAAAAAGCTGTACAATCCTGAAGGTATGTGGTTTGAGACCACCAGTTGCTCCACGGGAGAAGGATGGGCAGTCTCCTGTCTTGCAATTAACAGCCTCTGAAAACCCACTAGAGGGTCAGCTATGAGTCAGTTCTGACTCCATGATACACAGCAACAATATATCAAAATTATGTTTAAATTCTACTGTAATTTACTAAGTGTTTAATAATGGAGTTTTGAAAAAGATCTGAAATATCATTTGCATGTTCAACATGTGACAGAAAGCCATGAAGGGAAGTGATGTCATAAAAAAATGGCACCAAGAGCTTTGTTCGATGCAGGGCTTCTGTATTACTTCAATATGTAAAAAACACAGTGTCTTGTCAAGTAGAATAAAGACGATAAAACAAGGCATGTTTGTCCATCAACCTTCATACACTCCGCTGGTCACATCAGCCAGCCACTGACTACCACAGTGATCGAAGGATTGGCATAAAGAGAACCATCAAGTACGAACACAGAAAAAAAATTCTGAATCGAGTGGCCTTATCCTATTCAAAAGTTGAGGGGACCAGTGTGTGTGCAGTTACAATGACTTACCCAAAACGTACCAGAAGTCGATAATCAAGAATAGTGGGCTGCTTTCCTAACCTGACATTATTTTGCTCTTTCTGCGGGTTCCAACAGTTGAGTTTTTATTTCTTCTCTAATATTCATACATGTGCAAAACAGGCATAAAAGAATACAAGCAGGGGTGGTAAAGTAATACCAACCATTTAATTTCAGTTGTAGATCTTCAGTTGCTGCTATATTATTTTATACCCATTTCAGAATTATATAAAGATGTGAGATTATCACTTAGATTATTATTATATCCTCAGAAACACTGCACCATTTTCCTAAGACTTCATTCAATTAGGTGAGGAAGTTGGGCAAGTGAGAAATTGCTTTAGTTACGACAGAAGTTCCCTTGCAGGGAGAAATGATGTCCCATTTGCTCAGGAAATTTCAGACTGTCTAGAGTGAAAAGAAATAAGAAAATAATGAAGGTGGAGACATGAGTCAAAGGGTGATTTATTTGGCTGTATGATTGTGTTTCACTGGAAGCAAAGTACTAGTTCCAACATCAAAAGCATGTTATTCAAGAGGAAAATTAAAAAGAAAATAGACGTGTTAGGAATGGAAGGAAATATAATCTGTGATTAATTGCTTCTCTGAACAACCACCTCTTTTGAGACTAGTACTCGATGGTGCCTGGCTACCATTACGGAATGTCTTGATCAAAGAGGGGTGGAGATGTAGAACAGAGTTTTAAATTCTGATAGAATCCAGACCTTCTGGAGTCTTTAAGTCTGAATGAATCTTAAAAAAAAAATAAATATTGTTCTGAGATACTATTTAAACTTTAAACAAAAAAATTCCTCCAAAATCTTTAAAACAAAGATTACATTAGCTTAGCAAGTAAAGAATTTCCACCTTGATTTCCTCTAAAGAACTATCTATACAGGGTCAAAATGACAACAGCAACTAGAAAGGATGACAAGATAGTGTACAGAGCAGCGAGTTTATGTTGACGTAGATCAATGTCAAAACAACCTACTTTGAGAAGTATATGAATTGTATACGGAGAAACTGCTGAAACTGGTGTGTGGTCTGCATGTTTTGTGAAAATGACAACAAAGAGAAACTGTTTAAAAAGGTGATGAACTTGAAAATTTAGAAACCAACAAAAAGCAGTGCTGCCAGATGATACCCAGCAAATTCTGCATTTGAAGAAATGCAGGTGGTTATTACAATGAAACCCCTATTCCTGATCGGGGGGGGGGGGGATGTCTTACGAGGAAAGAATGTCATATGAGGAAAGGCACTGGAGGGGGTGACACACTTACTCTGCCCATTTCACGCAGCTTGGTTAGCATCACTACGATGGTGGAATTGTGCTCCCAGAGCATCCGCCAGAAGTCCTCCGTGGTCTCTGCCAAGGGCCCCTGGGTAGCGATGTAAGCTTTCTGTTGTCTGATTCACCGAGAACAAAAAGGGCGTGTTAAAGCACTCGGGGACCATGAGACTCATGCTTGGAATGTAAACATCTGAGTATTTATAAGTAAACAAATTAACAGATACTATTTACACAACTGTAGTCAATTCCCCTGCTTCATCAAGCCGTAGCATTTAAAACATTCTGGGGACTTTGCAAAAGAAGTTGCTGTGTTAATATTATGATGTATGTTCTCATCATTACTATTTAAATTTTAGTGCAACACTAATAGCTCAATTTCACGTGTCACACAAATCACTTAAGAAACACTTAGTTGTGCTGTTTCATTTTCCAGAAATGACTCTCACGCAATCTACTACATTTATGAAATCTGCTGCAAAAACATTTTTTCTGATTAACTCTTTGTGCATCCAAGTGGATTTGGAAAGAAGGTATAGCCAGATCAAAAAGACTGTGAATGCCAATTTTTTTTCCTGTTCAGCGTTCAGCGTTAATAAAAATCAAATACCAAGAGACAGAAGGCTGACTGGTACAGAAATAAAATGGCTTTGAATGGAGACAAAATTCACTCTAGCTATGAAACACAGGGCACAATACTGACCTTTGGACTGTCAGGGGAGCGGGAGCATATACCTGTATCCATCGATAAAGCTGGCATTGATGTAATCGGATCCTTCCACTCCCCGGATTGGCTGCAGGCATACCCTCGTGGATTCATATGGCATAATGTTAACAAGGCGGTTTTTGAATTTATTACATGGAAGATTGGCACTGATGAATCTTGAGGTGTGAGCTTTAGAACTGGCAAGACGCTGTTGAATGGAGGAAAAGAAACATTTGACCAAGACAATCTCAGCCTCTGCTTGGAATGCATTGCCCCCAATATTTCCTTTTAGATAATATATCTTGTGTTTACTTCTGGAGCTTGGCTTTTCCAAGTGCACTGCTTCTTACTTATCCTGAACACAAAACCTACTGAATTTGTATATATTGTGCTCTGAACGTGCGTTCGCTTGATGGATATTCAGGTACAAAAGATCATAAGGTATCATTAGGAAGGGGAGGAGAAGAAGGGACAAGGGAGGAAGAGCTTTGTAACTGGAGCCCTGAGGAGAAGGGCCAGCGAACCGGGTACTTCCTTTCACAAAGGTCAAGAAAGTAAAGGCATCACTCAAAGGGGTTTCCCTGTGCTTGGGAGCCCTGCCAGGAAGACACCACATCCCATGCCATACCTTAAACTCCAGCTCCATTCCCGTGACATTCTCTCCGGCTTCTATCTGTGTCAGCTTCTGAATGTAGGCATACAAGTTTCTCGCTGGCACTTCGGTATTTCCACAAGTCACTGCTTCTAACAGCGCGTCATGGATGAAGACGTATTGGTCTTCTGTTTGAACCATGTAATTCCTCTGGGCTCGCATTAAAGTTACATGGCCATAAATATCTACAGTTTTTTCATGCTTTATTCTTTCTAGCATGGCATCTATTACAATGAAGCAGCCGGTCCGGCCAACTCCCGCACTGTTAAGGGAAACAGAAGGAGAAAGAAAAGCCCAAAGAAGACCATCAGGAAACAAAATCACACTAATATTGTTTTAGAACTCTAAGCAATAGGCTTTACACCAACCGTTGCTGTTGGATGTTACTGAGGAGACGCAGACTTAAAGTGACCTCATACACAAGAAACTTTGCCTGGCCTTCTCTCATCCTCAATCTCAATCATTGTTGGGCACGAGCGAACCGTTAGAACCACTGTGCTGATCCAGCACACCGGGGGGTTTCTGTTTTCACCGAACCTTTACTGAAGGAGCCATGAGAGTATAATGTGTGTTAGGCTGCTCTCTGCAAGTTGGCTGAGTTGAGCCCACCTGCTGCTCTGAGCGAGAACGATGAGGCTGTCTCCTCTTGTGAAGATTTACAGCCTCTGGAACCTATGGGATCGTTTCCATGAACTTGAATTTACCAGACAGTGGTGGGTTCGATTCCGTGAGCGACCTCACCAAGTGTGCTATGACTCAACTCAAATAGCTACTGCGATGAATCTGGATCTCTCAAAAGTAAAAAGCATCATCAGGTTAAAATCAGCAGCATGTAGAGAACGCAGACACACTGACGGGAATTCGTTTGGTTTCAAACACGGACGTCTTCATTACTGCTGCCTTTCATCAAACAGTACAACACGGATGTTAATTTGAAAACATGAAAAAAAAATGATAACACTTGCACTGCTTCATATTTAGAAAATACCTAAAAACATGCATCAAGCTCTAACTAAGCGATACTCTTCTACAAGGCCCCCTCTCGGTCTACTGCAGTTCCATTTACAAGAGAAATTTAGTAAATCACTCACCTTAAAACTTTCCCTATTATAAAACTCAGCAAGGAAGTTCTAAAACCAGCCCAGTGAGAAGTGTGTAATTAAAATATTAAAATGTTGTGGCACACTAAAAATAGTGCCGAGTCTTCTCAATGGAAAGACATAATAAAAAGCTATCAGTAGGGAGTGTGGGTGTGTTTCCTGTGTTCACTCCCTCCCCTTTTGCAGCTGAAAGTATTTTAAAATTCTAGGTGAAACTCAAGTGTTGTGTGGGGAAAGCGAAGCCTCAATCTTTGTTACTGAGAAGGCTCTCGGGCCTTCTGTCAACTCCATTACTTCGAGACACGTGGGTTATTTTCCCAGTGGGGAAGGCCGATTTGAAGAGGAGGAGTCAGAGAGGGAGGCAAGCAAAGCTCAAAGCTGCACAAATACCTCGAGTTCCAAGGAGACAATCTCATTTACTGAACTAGATTACAGAGGCAGGTGGACAAAACATGGAGTTTCCTTGAGTGTTGAAAGAATGTTAAGAAAATAACACAGCTGTGTTCTTCCAATCTCAAGATAAGCCTGTGAGTACACGATTTATCAAACACTTCTGGCTGAGTCCATTTATGCATCAAGTAGGGTTCAATCCAAACCACTCTTCTCCCCTGATCATGGAGGTTTACCTGGCTGGTAAACATGTAATCAAGAGGAACAGGTATCTATTACCAACACAGAGACCAAGCCACAGAGAGTCCCCTTCATGCAATAATACATGACACAGCGTTCTGTGTTTTATGTGTCTGCATGTGCACCTGTTGGTTCATCCACCCATCTCCCTCTTCAGTGAACAGAACCATGAAGTAATCACTTTTCTAAATGAAATGAAGACAAGAGAAATGATGACTTGGATATACTTTTGTTAGAGATTGAATTATATACCCTGTAAAAATATGCTGGACCTTTTCACAGGGTAACAGAGAATTGGGTGGATTGAGGGGAGGGTGAGGGAATGGGAAAGATTTGATGCAGACTTGAAAAGATGGTGTAATAATCTGCAAAGATCAATGGTAATTATATGGGATACGGTATATATGAGTGATTCTATGAAATACAATGCAAATGAGGGATTGCACAGAACACAATATATAGGAATAAAACACAATGTGAATAAATTATTGTATGAAAATTGATTTAAAAATGTAAACTTTTAAAAAAAGTGATTGACTATGCACATGGATCTCACCTGAATCACATCAGTAAATTTTAATTAATATAAACAGAAAATGTTGGAATATTTGAAGGTAAAGCTCCCTGAAAGTAAGATTTTCTCTGTTATGTTAATGATGCCCTAGCAGTGTAGGTTCCTAAACATCACCACTTCCGAGTTGTAAGGCGTAGTGTAGAAATAGTCAAGTCAGTATAAACGGAAGTGGATGGATGCTAGCTGCTGCTGCTGGTACATAAAAGTCTACACGTCAAGGAAGTCCAAGAATTGCCAGCTACTGGAAGCTGAAATAAGTAAGTATGGACTTTCTTCCAGAACCACATGATGAATTTCAACTTTTAGTTTCCTGAGTGCTGAGAAAATAGGGTATCTTTTCTTTAAAGCCACCCACATGTGGTATCCCTATTACAGGAGAATCCTGTCTTGACTAAGGCAAACTGCTACAGAACTCAGTTTCTACCAAGGGAGGCAGCAATTCCTCCCAATGGCTGCACCTTACACAGTCACTTGAAGAGAATTTGTTTGTAAATACAAGGAAGAAAGGGGATATTCTGGTTTGAGGATGATGTAACATTGAACAAGAACTTGAAGGACAAAGAATCAAGGCAAGAGGAGCAGTAAGAGAGGGAATGGAATGGCTTTGGTCATCATCATGTTGGTCCTGAGAAGTACATGTGAAATGTTAACTGGGTGGGATATTTGCACAAGGAATGTGCCAGAACTCCAAACTAAGTACGTTTAATGAGCACTGGGGTGAGTTTCAACTGAAATGTCAAATTCTCTTTGAAAAGTGGCTGCAAAGTTAAAAGATGAGTTTTCTAATGTCTTCACTGAAGTACTGAACAATGTAGATTAAAGTCTCCAAACTAAGGAAGTCCTGTGGTTGACAGACTGGACTAAGCAGGAATTTGGGAACACCACTATTTTAAAACTGCTTACTTTTATAGACTTTTTTCTTTCTTTCTTTTAACCGGAGGGCTTCTGGGTGCTGATTCTAAGACTCTATTCAAGACCCAAAGCTATAAAGTGAGAAGAACCTGAGGTGTCAGGAGCCAGTCTTCTGAGAGAAGTCTTAGAAATGATGACATATTTCTCAGAGAAGAACCAATTAGAAACTAGCTGTAACCATTGCTAAATGGCTCTGTTGGACTGGAGGTTCTCATGGACAAAGCCCTACTGGATATTGTTCTGTTAAACAGAGGTGCTAGAGGACACGTTTCCATAATATTCTCTTCCCCCAGGCAGGCTTAGTTATCCATGATGCCTTCCAGAGCCCTTCACTATCATCCCGGTCCTGCCATCCATCTGTCAACTTGCTGTAATGTGATGGCTGAATGTTTCCATGACCTTGGAAGCCATACCACTGGTATTTGAAATACCAGCAGGAACATACATGATGGGCAGGTTTCAGTGGAATTTCAGACTAGGAGGAAAGACTTGGTGATCTACTTTAGGGAACTCATCAGTAAAAATCTTATGGAGCAAAGAGAACTGTGTCAGATAAAGCGCTGGACACTGGGCCCCTTAGGGCAGAAGCTTTCAAAATCCAGTCTCTCCAGGAGTGGATTCTCGCAAACCAAAATTTTGAAGAAGGCACAGGACAGTGCAAGGTCTCCTTTTGTTTTAAAAACATCTATCAGACCCAGAACCAACTTGATAGCAACCGAAAAACACGACTACTGCATATTATTATTAATAGTCTGGTGGGAATGCCAGCTGTAAGTAATAGGACATACCTCCAGGGCAGGTACTGCCATCTGTACATGTCCACCACGTTTGTACTCAAAACAGTATGAGCTGGTAAGTGAATGAAATCAGTGACTGACGTAAGAGGCCAGAGAAGATAAACAGCTAATTCAAGTAAGGTCAGTGTATTCAGGAACCAAGAATCTTTATTTAGTCAAAGAACTTCTACATTGCACAAGGGCTTGGAAGGATGCAGGCACTATGTGAAGACTGCTTTGTGTGATGGTTGCTTGAGTAAGGGGACAGAGAAAATGCTGATTCGTTTTGGTTTTCTGAGAGCACCATGGCGTGGAATGATAAGATGGGAAGACTTAACATGGGAGAAGGAAGCAGCCCCCACATCTGACAGATTCCAAGACAATGACTAACATCCCTCCTTTTTACTGTGTTAATTATGGCTCTCAATTGTCTCCATTGTAACTGTGCATTGTTCCTAATTGGCCACAACTTGAGGCAATTTTTCCAGGGGGAAGCCACACTGTCTGCCTGAGAACAGCATTGATCTTTTCAGTTTTAGCAAATGGCAACGATATTTCCCAAAAATATGCATCAGGGGCCTTTCAAACATCTGAATGATACACGGTTCTCTTATCTGGCAGAAGATACCACGGGATCTTGAGAAGCTGGAAGGGATAAATGAAGCTCTGAACCCCGCCATCCTCTTCATGATGCTGCTGACACATTTCCTGACCCCCCCGCCCCTCTCCAAAATATGCTGTTGTTGTTATGTGCTGTTTAAGTCGCCTGCAATTCAGAGCGACCCTGTGTACAGCCCTAAATCCTTCTCTATCCTGTGCCAATCTCACTGTCTCCGACACACCTATCCTGATCACCCCAGTCACTCAATCCATCTCATCAAGGGTCTTCCTCTCCTGTGCTGTCTCTCCACCCTCCTAAGCATGATGTCCCTCCCTAAGGACTGGTCTCTCCTTAAAACATGTCCAAAGTATGTCAGACAAAGCTTCAGAATTCTTGTCTCCAAGGAGCAGCCTATTTTAATTCTCTCCTGGATGAACCTGTTTGTTTTTCTGCCAGTCCATGGTATATGCAATACTCTTCTCCAACACCACAACTCAAAGGCATCAACTATCCTTCTATCATCCCTAGTCACTGTCCAGCTCTCAGATGCACAGTAAGTGACTGCAAAGACCACAGCCTGTATCAGGTGCACCTTAGTCTTTAGAGTGACATCACTGTTCTTTAGTACTTTGGAGAGGTCTCTGACAGCAGACTTTTCCAATACAATAC